GCCTCTCAAGCATAACTTTGAGTCAAGGCAGGTCCTCTCTCAGCAATGCATTTTAATATCAGAAAAGGAGAGAGTGGGCCTGGCAGTGAGCAACCTTTGCCCTCACACAGCCTGCCCCTGTGACATCTGTGGGGTTTTGGCTGACTTCTGTGTATCATATTTTCACATGGATGAACTGTACTCTACCACTTCTGTGTACCAGGGAACCCAAAACAGTGTTGACATTGAAAATAGAGTTTTCTCTTTCTAGCTGTTTTAGCTTCCCTGTTTTCAAGGGCGGACTATTATTTTTCATGGCAGTGGCCATGGGACTCTTGTTTACCTCTCTCCATGGAGGGCTGTCCTGAGGCGCTGTTGGTATTTCTGAACTGGCCCCTGGCAGCTCGGGTGGTCTGGGTAGACATAGCTGCTTTCTGGTTAAATATTTTCAATTTGGGAGGATTCCTGGACTCCTGGAAAGTCTTCCTCGGTTATATCTGGGCAGTGGACTTGGTCTTTGGAGGCAGACGGCTCTGTGCTTCATTGTCAAAGCAAAGATAATAACGCAGTGCATGGAAAGAGGCCGTTTGAATCATAAGGCATTTCCTTCTCACTCTCCAGTGAGTGTCTGTGTGGGAGCAGCTGGAGCTTCACACAGAAGGGACCCCACAGTTGTCTCCACACAGCTGTTTCCAGCATCAGGCCAGTGTGAGTCTCCGTGTCCTGAATATCTTTGGGAAGGATCGTCTGCCACATAACCATCTGCAGGCATAAGTCAGAGGAACTTTAAGGGAGCCTTAAGACTACAAATGGGGATTTTTATGTCTTGGTTTAGGTGCACCTTGATGCTGTTCTTTTCCAGCCTGGCCATTCTGAGAGCAGCTGAAAACAGCCAAACGTGGTTTTTCAGAATTTGGGTGGGAGAGGTAAAAACTCAACCTGCTCAGCCTGGATGTATTGCACTGCTTTGCATAATAATTAATGATGTACAAGCTGTTGCTTAATGGACAGTTTTACTGTGTGTGCCCTTCAGTTGTGACTAGCTGGAGTCCTCCATGATTTAAGTGGCTACCTCTCTTCTTTATGTGTGTCTTGGCCATTGCATCAAGCTGTTGGAGTCATACCGTCTCTCCTTGGTTTCTGCTTCCTCTTTCCTTTTTGTAGGTCATTCAATGAACTTATGCTTAACTCTCACATTCAAAGAGAGGAGAGTATTTTCTTGTATCTGAAAATCTCCACATCTCTGAGTGCTAGGCAATGACCAGTTCACAGGGATAAATGATGAAAATAATTATTACTCTTTCTATGCTTGTTGATATTTAAACACTCCACATATGATGCTCATTTAATTATCAATAACCCTCTAAAGTAGGGTCTGTTATCCACTCCCCCCTTTTACAGGTGAGGAAATTGAGGTAAAATAACTTGTCTAGAGTTACACAATTAATTCAACAGTGAAGCTGGAATCATGATGAAACCCATACAGTAGTCCTGGGAGAGAGATAGTGTTATTCCCACATTTTAATGAGGCCAGTGAGTGAGGGTCAAGGGAATTGTCTAAATTTACCCAGGCTTGTCTTATCTCCAACCCTAGCTCTTGTGCAGTATTCTCCACTACTGTCTGTATTGTAAAGGTCCTGGATTCTATTTGGTTGCACAGATATTTACTGGAAACCCACTGGGTTCTGAGTCCTGTGCCATGTGCTGGTTATATGGAATTGGCTTTTTGTTATTTTACATGCTTATATAGATGAGTCAGATCCCTGTGGCTAATTCGGTGAATTTTCCTTTTGGGAAAACTTGAAGGTGCCTCTGGTGTCCATTACTATGCTAGTCACATGGAAGCTACCTAATATACTGAATAACTATTGGTTGATAAAATGTGATATCAGTTAATCATTGAATAAACACTTTTGTTCTAGCAGCCTCTGTGTTCAATTCAGTTAATGTTTAATGACAGGCTGATGTCTCACATTTGCCTAACTAATGAACCTAAACACTATTTTTAATACGATGCCACACTTGGTTTTATGACCGTCACTTTCCTAATTGAGGTAGTAGACTAAAAAAGCTCAATGTCAAAGGATAGAACTCTTACTGGGTTCATTTTGAAAGCTAGCATTATATTGGAAAACCCAAACAACTAGTAGTGCAGGATGCTAGTACTAACTCTTATAACTAATAAAACTGTGTACCTGTTACCACATCTCCTACTCTCAATTTTTTCATATGCACAATGAGGAAATTAGACTAAGTAATGGTTAAGGTCACTTGTTAAGTCCTGTAATTCATGAAAAACACACATATTGTAGTGAGTCCTTTTTAGTAATGCTATGTATTAGTTTAGTTTTGGCTGCAGTAAGTATCTTAATTCTATTGTCTTAGTTTTCTTGCCTTTTCATTGGGTTGATAATTTCTGGCACTCCTAATCTATGACTTCTGTGAGGGGTCAATGAGATAACAGGGATACACATGCTTTGAATAGTATAATACACGTAGGAACACATGATGATGTTATTCATATTGAAAATTAATGATAAAGTGTCAGGTTTTTTACCACTCTTCCTCCCACCCCTAAAAGACTGGAGGTGGGTCCTGGCTGGGCTATTTCTCGGAGTTTATGGGACTCTTTGGGACTGTACAGGGTCAATAAAGGCTTTGTCCTGCTGAGGTCCATTTCCCACGGCTGGGGCAAGACTGCTACACTCTTTCTCCTGACACACTTTATCAAACACACCCGCCACACAAACGGGGGTAATTCGTCAGACAAAAGTGAGGTTTTCAGTTACAATAACCTCCGCTTCATGAAAAGCCCCCTTGGAATCTGAGACCTTCCCCTTGGGCCAGCAGACGTGTCTCCCCAGCTTTACAAATGCCTTAAAAGCAGCCCGATAAAAAACTACCCCGAATTTGTGTGCCCCGTCTAACTCTGTCTCTTGGTGCGGGATATTTTTAACTCCTGCTTCTAGCTCCTCTTGGTTCCTTTAAGGAAGCGTGATCAGAAGGGTCAAACACTTGGCATCTACTTAGGGGAAAACTTTGAAAGAATTTCTGAGGCTCCCCCTGGGGTAGAGCTGGCTTTCCCCAGAAGAATCGGCCTTTCAGAGCGTCTTTGCCACATAAGGGCTTGAGCTGGGCCCCAGGCACCAATTGACGCTGTCTCTCCCCCACGACAGATGGGCAGTTTCAGCAAGTGATCCTCTGTTGAGCTTCTGCCAGCATGCCGAGTGACAGGGCAGCTTAGGGTATCGGGGATCCGGTATGTGCCCCGCATAGCTTATGTGCTAACGACGGGCTGCTGACAGGCGCCTTGCTCCTGCTCATCCTGGAGGCAGATCCCCGCTCCCTTGATTCTGTTTCTCTCTGGCAGAGCTGCGTCCTGTTTGCCTGTCTTTCAGAGCCCATTTTGGCACCAGATGGACCCCCTCACGATGGCTAGCAGTTGTCTGACTTAAAGAAGCCAAAGGGTGTGCTGACAGCTCCTTCTAACATAACCTGAATCTGGCTGTCAGCTCTGGGCTCAAATGGCTTACACACACAGGCGGCAAATATTATCTACCCTGGGGAACGAGGGAGGGGAGAGAATGGCAGTGCCCGCTACTACAATATTTACGTTGCCAGTGTAGAGATAATAATACTAATAATGCCTCTTGCTTGTACAATTACTCATATGTACTCTTATTAGTACAATTGCTGTTGATAATACAGTTAGTGTTCATATCAGTACTGTACTACTTCTGTTATTATTAAAACTACTATAGCATAATGGTTAAGAACACAGGCTCCATCCAAATTTGAGTTCTACTCTTTCACGAAAAATGTGTACTATGGTGGGAATTTTACACCATTGTAGACTTTAAGTGGGGGAAAGATGAAGAAGGGAAAATTTCTTAAAAAAATTTTTTTTAATTTCATTTCATTTTTTTTTATCACCTTCTATCCTTCCTGTACCCTGTTCTACCTACCCTCCCCCAATCAGCACACTGTTGTCCATGTCAATGAGTTCTTTCTATCTTTTTACTTTTTTGCTCAATCCTTCCACTTCCCCAACCTCCCTTCTCCTCCCTATCAGCCTGCCCTGTATACTTATAAGAATTTCACTGACTAGTATTTTAATGCATTCTGATATTTTGGGAAATTATTTGAGTTTGAAATCCACAGGCCTAAGTGAAAGGGAATGAAGATATTAAGGTGGCTTTTTAAATTGTTCTTTCTTCAAACCTGGGCAGGTATGGAAGGAATATGCAGGTGGCCAGCATGAATGCTTTAGAAGGCTGCCTTTGATATCTGCTTCCTTTACCTGATGGACAAACAAACCACTGCAACATAAGAAATAACTCAGAAAGCTACAGGGTGCCCATCGAACTTATCATCCATAACAGAACACTTTTGCAAGTTAAAGTGGGCACATTAATACATTAATACAGCAGGCGACAACTGGGATTGTTCCTGGCAAGGTGGGACCTTTGGTCCCTCTAAGCCCCAGGGCCTCACGTCTAGGAAATGTTTAAGAAGCCAAAGGACTTTAGTCAGTATGTGACTCTCACCTGCTTCTCATGGGTGCTACTGAACTAGGGTATTTTATTTGGAGATGTTAAGTTAAAAAGTGTCGACTGTTTCTTTGTGGTCATTCAGCATGTATTTTGCTGGCTCATAATCTGTGACATTACAGGTTTTGACTTACATGTTATTAGGGACCGTGAGCAATTCTCAGGCCATTATAATCAGTGAGAACCTATCCTAAATGGTGGTGAAGACTTTCTCTCTGCCTGAGTGAGAACCCTTCCTTGGGGGCTTAATCCTTTTGCCGCTAAGAGAGCTGCTGGCAGGACTGAGAGCTGTCCATTCCAGCTCGATGCAAAGCAAAGGCTAAAGCTTTCAAAGAAATACTGGTTCTAACACCATTCTGAATATTTCAGAAAACTGGCCTAGAATACAACGCCCAGAAGCGACGTACTATTTTTTTTTTTCTTTCGGTGTCAGGACTGAAATGCTAACCATGATCATTTCTTTCTTCACAGGTTCTTCTTGAAATTTTTCCTCAAATGTAACCAAAATTGCCTAAAGAATGCCGGAAACCCACGTGACATGCGGAGATTCCAGGTGGGTCTCTCTTGTCTTTCTTAAATCTCAACAATGACATGAATATTGGGAGAGGATACAAGAGAGAGAGAGAGAGAGAGAGAGAGAGAGAGAGAGAGAGAGAGAGAGAGACAGACAGACTTAGGCAGAAGATAGAGAGTAGAGAGTACAGTTGTTTCCCCAGAGTGGAGAGCAGGTGAGGTTCCTAGTCCCTCAGGTCTCTGCTGTCTAGGAGTTGTTGTTTTTATTAGAGAAGAATTGGGACCACACCACCTACGTGCACTAGATTGAGCCTAGGGTGGCTTCCAGAATACTCTCAGTTTAAACTACTACAGGTTAAGTGAAGTACACAGAAACAATGAATTCTTTGCCTATAAGTTTACAACTGGAAAACTGGTACATAAGAGCTTTGTTCTGTTTTTAGAATTTACTACCTTCTTCCTTCCTCTCTCTCTGTTCTTCTATCCTTGGAAATTGTTAGTAGCAATTATCATTAAAAATGGACTCCTGAAGAAGCAGGGAGTTTCTAGACTGACAGGGGTGACAGTTCTGTTTCAGAAATGTCCTTGTTCAGCTCATGTAAATGTCCCGAAGCACCCATACGACCTGCCAGCTTTAAAAGCATGAATGGTATGCTAACCTCACATAATTATACATTTTCTAAAAGAAAAAGAACCTGAGAACAAATGTGTTAACTTCTGAGACACAGAATGGGAGTTGGGTTTTAGTAAAGGTGGTTAAGTTCTAGGTAGGTGCTTCTCAAACTGGAAAGTCAAGAATCCCCTGGGGATCTTGTTAAAATGCTAATTGAGGTCTTGGGAGAGGGGGTGCAGAAATTCTACAAATTTAACAAGCTCCCTAGTGATGCCAATGCCATGGCCATACTTGAGTAGCAAGGTACTAGCGCCCCTCCTTCTTGTGTTGCTGTCTGTCTAATTTTATGGCTAACTTATTTGCATGGCCTTTGTTAAATTTCCCATCAGAGTCATGACCCATATAGGTATGCCCATAAGGTCTGTATGGTGCTTACATACTCTTAGGTATAATTAGCTTTAAGTAGATTGAAATGTATGATCTTGAGAAGCTCTTGAAAATTTTTAACTGCACAATCTCTGATGGAGAAAGGCAGGGATGATTCTGAGCATTGATTTTTGAATGTCAAGATCTCTTAATCTCCAAGAAGATTGTTTTTTAAAGGTGTGAGACTTATTGGTCTCATGAAAGAACAAATTCAGTGAAAAAAAAAAAAAGACATCCTATCCTGAGATCTGAATCATTTTTCTAAAATCGTTTTGGCCTTGCCAACTTTTGACTTAACAGAGATGAATGGGGGAGAATCCTTAAATTTCTAGTTTCCCAGAAAATGTTTCTCCTGGCTAGTATCTGATCCCATTTTGGTAGACTTGGGCACTCTCATTCCCACACAGGACTTTTTGGGTTGCATTGGAGTCAGCTTTAGAGGCAAACCAACACATATGACGCCACTAAGTGTGTATTGCTAAGTGCCTTGAAACGTGAGGGTGAATTTTAATATAAACTGTTTGGTAGTTTGCTTTGCCCCTGAGAGAAACCCTATATCTCATTTGAACAAGCTTGGGTCAGAAACAAAGCATCTCCAGGCACAAAACAATTCATATCTGAGAGACATGTCTAATGGCTTTTGAATACCAGGATCACCTTTGCTGTATTTCTCAGAGAAGCAGAACTAGAGATGGACTTTGGTGACATTGGGAACCTAAAGAAAGAGCATTTGTGTAAGACTTCTGGGGACTTGTTTGCCCTTATAGGATCTACTAGTAAAATGTCTGAAAGCCTTGAATTATAGGAATGTAGCTCTTATGTGAGATGAGAAACCAATTCAGTCTGTTATTTTTGAGTCTAGAAAGTTTTACAGACAAAAGAGTTACTCTTTGTTTAATAGAAAGCCTACTGAGATGAGGAGACATGAGTTAGATTTCTGGAAAGCCTCCATTTCCTCAACTGTAAAATGGAGTAAAAGTGACTATTCTACTTATTTTACAACATATGAAGGAAAGACAATATTTTGCATGCATATGTAATTATAAATGATGAAATAAAATGTAAGCTTTTGGAGAAAATACTTGCAATAAACTAAAGCTGGGTCATTATTTCAGTACAGGATTTCTCTAACTTGGGCACAATTCACATTTTAGACTGGTTAATCCTTTGTGGGGAGTGAGGGGTAGGGTCAGGGGAATGATATGTCCTGTGTTTGTAGTATATTTGTAGTTGTCACTGGCCTCTACCACTAGATGCCAGTAGAGATACTCCCCTCCCCCACAAGTCATGACAAACCAAGATGTCTCCAGGCCTTGTCAAATGTCCCCTGGTTGGGGTGGGAGTGCAAAATTGCCGCTGGTTGATAATCACTGGTTCAGTTCTATACTTGCTGACTTCTGGCAGACTCTTCTTGGGAACAGTGGTTTTATCTCAAAGAGCACACTCTTTTTCTAGGCATGAGAGCTGCCCTACACAGGTCATACTATCCTTCAAATACATAATGCTATATCTGAACCACAACAATGCTCTTTCCTATGATTCTCCAGCTGGTCCTAAAGTAGGTAGATTTGTCTCAATAAAGGCAGCTACCTTGGCTACCACACAGTCAGTGTTTGAATTGAAGAAGAGCTGCATCTCTTTCTATCAGCAATGACAAATTCCTTATTGCATCTCAGATTTAACCTGCTTTGTTCCTTCACTAATTCCTTCCTTCCTGGCAGAGGATGGAGGGAGCCCATGACAGAATGAATATTGACGACTTCTTCTTCTTCTTCTTCTTCTTCTTCTTCTTCTTCTTCTTCTTCTTCTTCTTCTTCTTCTCCTTCTCCTTCTCCTTCTCCTTCTCCTTCTCCTTCTCCTTCTCCTTCTCCTTCTCCTTCTCCTTCTCCTTCTCCTTCTCCTTCTCCTTCTCCTTCTCCTTCTCCTTCTCCTTCTCCTTCTCCTTCTCCTTCTCCTTCTCCTTCTCCTTCTCCTTCTCCTTCTCCTTCTCCTTCTCCTTCTCCTTCTCCTTCTCCTTCTCCTTCTCCTTCTTCTCCTCCTCCTCCTCCTCCTCCTTCTCCTCCTTCTTCTTCTTTTTCTAAATTGACTCCTTTAGTTTTGTATCTGATTACACTTACACATTTCATGAATTATCATTTTATGCAATTAGCACATAGTCTTATGCATATAGGCACATGCGTATTTATACAATCAGAATGTATGAATTGCCTCAATATAATTCAAGCAAAACTTTAAATATCTCTTATTCAACCTTTCCATTTTTTATCCAGTCTTGTTTCTTTATATCATTTCATGCTGGAAGCCACTCCATCCTTCTTGAATCCATCTTTTTTCTCGGATTCATAACAACATTCATTCATTCTCAGCTCCTCCTAAGATATGCTCTTATCTGCTATCCTATGAATTTTGGTGTTCTCTAAATTTCCTTTTGAGATACAGAACTCTTTTCATTGTATAGGATCTCTGAGTATCTTCTCTACCCCCAGCAACTTAACCACTTTGGGCACTGAGAATTCAGACCTAGCTACCAGCTACCTGCTGGATATTTCCAGGACCTTCAACTCTTGAGTCTTAAACTCAATGATCATCTCATTATTTTTTTTCTTTGTGCCAGTGCCCATGCTGGCTTCTCTTCCTATGTTCCCTGTTTTAGTTAGTTCCTAACTGCATTAAGTGCTATTTACATTTGTGTCTATATCAGTGTGTTCCATATACATGTGTATACATGTCCCTGTGTGTACATTAATGTAGATTTATGGACATGGGCCATAATGATGATGATGATGATAAAACTAACATTCGTTGGGTTCTGATGTGAGAGATATTATGCTAAGCATTTTAAAATATATATATTTTATTGATTTTTTACAGAGAGGAAGGGAGAGAGATAGTTATAAACATCAATGAGAGAGAAACATCCATCAGCTGCCTCATGCACACCCCCCCCTACAGGGGATGTGCCCACAATCAAGGTACATGCCTTTGAATGGAATCGAACCTGGGACCTTTCAGTCTGCAGGCTGACGCTCTATCCACTGAGCCAAACCAGTTTTGACTATGCTAAGCATTTTACATGAATTATCATTTTTTATCTTCACAATATCCCTGTTGGAAATGTGTAAATATGGATTATGGATTTTACAGATGAAGAAACAGAGGCTTAGAGAGGGTAAGCAAGTTGCCTGAAGTCACACATCTACTAAGTATTGAGGCAGTCTGACTCAGATGTTATCTAGGGTTGCGGAACTATAAAGAACTTGTCCAGAATCTGTTGACAGGTCCCAAACAAGACAATAAGGAGTTCTCTCAACATCTGAGAGCCACAGTGGCTACCCACAAATATGTGCTGGAATCTCAGCAAAGCGAAGGAGGGGTTTTCAAAAGAGGCATTTGCCCCAATAGAACCTAAAGATACCATCTGGATGAAGAACATTGGAACAGCACCAAAGATTGCCAAGCAGAGGGTAGAATTGTGTGGAAGGAAAGAAACCTGGGTGTTGTTTCTGAACAGAGCTACAGTGTTGGTCAATTTGTAATTGTATAAACTTTAGGAAAAGAAGTTGTTATTCAGAAGACTGCCCGAGCTTCACTGTAGCAGTAGAGTTTTAGGTCAGTTCTCTAGGGCGAGAAAGACCCCTTACCTAGATGGAGCCTGAGTAAAGTGGCCCCTCAGTGAAAAGTGCATCTCAGATACTCTGTTAAGAAATCTACCGAAGTTCCCAGATCTTAGAAGTTAACCAGGAGCAGGGAGGTTTAGTTTTCCCTGAAGCTATCCTGGCTGATAGAGAGGTGACAAGAGACAGTGGTCAAATGCTTCCTATGAATAAGACTTATAATTTCCATCATTTTTCTCATAGCACACTAAGTAGGAAGCTGGTTTCAAATATTTTTACTAGCATGCTGCTGTTGCCTCCAAGGGGGAGTGAGAGTGTCTTTTTGGCATGAAAAAACCGGTGTACTCTTTAGATCTCCCTGTGGCTTTTCCCAGTTATATTGAAAAT